CGCAGACCTCAGATGTCCCTGCAGAGAAGAAAGGTGGCTGCGGCAACAACACCTGTTCTGGGCTCGGAGGCCACACTCGGGGGGCCTGGCCGGGGTATCCCCATAGTGAGAGGCTGGGGTATGGTTAGGTAAACAGCTGCATGGGCCATTAACCAGAATGCTCTCCGGACAGAGTCCTGGAAGCGGGAAGGGCGGCCCGCCCGCCAACTGGCTTGCAGGGAGAGCCAATCCATCATGCAGCAGACCCATCTTTGATGGGAGCTCTCCCAGCAACAGAAGGAAGGTGCTGGCTAAGACCTCAACAGATGGGCCACGCTGGGGAGGCCAAGGCACGGGGCACCACTGCTCACCGAGCAAAGAAACTCGGGGGTGCAGCCAAGGCAGCCAAGTGAGGCGTCTCAGGGCCTCTGCCCCACGCAAGCTAACTCCTGCCCCTGAGATGTTCCAGAGGCTGCGGCGAGGAGGGGTGGCACACACAGGAAATTAAGAGCCACTGCCCCACCTCCAGGTCATGGCCACCTCCACAACTGGAGACCCACGGGGACAGAAAGGCAGGATTTGGGGAGGCCAAGGTGGGAGGATCACTTGAGCTTAGGCGTTCAAGACCAGCCAGGGCAACAGAGTCTCTACAAAACATCAAAAAATGAGCTTGGCGTGGTGGCGCACACCTATGGTCCCAGCTACTCAGAAGACTGCGGGGAGAGGTTCGCTTGAGCTCAGAAGGTGCAGGCTGCAGTGAGCGGATATTGTACCACTGCACTCCAGCCTGGGCAACAGAGTGAGACCCTGTTTCAAAACAAAACAAACAAACAAAAAGGCAAGACCAAGTAGAGGCTGGAGCAGACTCAAAAGCTGGACCCTTAGGCCCGATGCTGGTCCTGGGGTTACTAGCTGAGTGACCTTGGACAAGCGGCTTAACCTCTCTGGACTTATTTCCTTATCTACGAAAAGGGAACAGTAGCACCTCCTGAAACTGGGCTGCGGCGAGGCTTCAGGACATGTGAATACAGGTGAAGTGTGCACGCCTCCTGGAGGGTGGGAAGCACTCCAAAAAGACATCACCCATATTATCGCATCCCCAAATGCCACCCCCAGCATTCTGGCCAGCCTTGTGTCTAGCTCTGAAGGGAGGGACAGCCGTTCCCCGTCCAAGCAGAAAGGCAGCAGGCAGAGGCTCCAACCTCAGAAATCCAGTGTCACGCCAGCAGCACTTCACGGGGTGTGGGGGGCGGGGAAGGGGGCGTCAATGCATCTGCACCTCCGCTGCGAGCCAGGCGCTCGGCTTACTGGGCTCCAGGACAAACCTCCCAGAGGGAAGAACATCCCCAGTTCTCAGGTGCAGCTACCGAGGCCCAGACAGGGCCACAGTCTCACCCAGGATCACACAGCTGACTCCCAGCAGCATGAAGATTCAAGCCAGGCTTGTCTTAAGGCAACCCCGGGGTCTTGCCAGGGTTTCACAGAGCCTCCTTGGGAGGCTTGCAGGGAAGTGTCAGTCCTTGGGGCAGGGGTGCCCAGCCCAGAAGAGCAGGCTTCAGCCCTCCCCAGGCCACCTCGGGCACAGCCCTGGTGAAGCACAAGGCACAAGTCACGTGCCTGCAGAACGTGGTGCTCTCTGGGGACCCAGGGCCCACCTGGAGGGAGAAGTGCAAACCCTATCCAAAGCAGAAGGTGCAGGGGACACCCTCCTCCTTTATTTTCTTCTCTTTATTTTTTTCATGTTTCCTCTTGTAGTGTTTTAAAGCTGATTCATTAATGCATGAACACATCATAGGGAACAACTGAGGAGTCACAGGAAGCAGCACAGACCATGGTTCTGGGACATGCCACGTCCCCAGCTGAGTGGCTTCCCTGCAGCTAACTTCCAGTGCCCTACTCATCGCACCTAAATTCTCAAACCGCCCCCCAAAATACAGATGGGAAGATGCACGTGAGCATCAAGATCTTGGGGGCTGGCATTAGGAAACCGGCTTGGGGACAGTCCCTCCACCCTCTCCCCCTCCCCAGGGGGCTCGCAGGCTTCTCCCCTGCCCGGAACCCCAGCTCTCATTCCCAGCTCCGGAGCCCCAGTTCTCATTCCCAGCTCCTGCAAACGCCACCTTCTCTGCCCACGCCCACCCTGGCACTGGATCCTAAGTTTAATCTGCTCTGCTGTTTCTCGGCACTTAGCTCTGCTGGAAGTGGCTCCTTCCCTCCACTCCTCGTGTGTGTCCCCCTCCCCCATGACACTGGAGGCTCTGTGCTTGCCACCAGATCCCCAGCATCTGGAACCGCGCCTGGCTCAGAGTCGGCGCTCCATAAATATTTGTTGAATGAATGGGAAGGAGGAGGAGGGAGGACGGAAGGCCAGGAGGCTGCATTTCCGGCTTTCTCCCAGCTGTCAATCGCACCTCCCTGGGAGCTGAGAGCTGAGGCTTCTCCTTTCCCTCTGTCCAGGGGAGCCTGAGACCAGCAGAGCTGCCCCCTTTGCCCCAACGGCCTCACCACCCACCTGGATTGCTGCCACAGCTGGGCCCTGAGCGGATCTCTTCTCAGTCCGTTCCACTTTCTTTCAAGAAATTGTTATTGCTCCCCTGAGCCTTCAACTTCAAATCCAACCTCCTACTCCTGATTTCAAGGCCTGGAGTTCACTCCAACCTTATTTCCTCTTATCCCCAACAGGCACCTCCTGCCCACGGAGGCTGAACAGGTCACCCCTGCTTCTGGGCCTGTTTGCCTGCCTCATTCCAACAAATCCTACCTCTTTTCCGAGGCTTCACTCAAGCTCCACCTCCTCCAGGCAGTTGATGGAAGAGGACCTAGGGAGCAGAAGCAGGTTCAAAACCGGCCTCAGATACCCACTGGCTGTGTGTTGTCTGACTTCTCGGAGTCTTGGTTAACTCATCTATAAAACGAGACAAGAGGGCCTCAAGGGCCATAGTAAGTGGCGAACGCACTAACTTGTTCTAGGGAACAGAGCACACATCCATGCCACATGAAACCTTGCTAAACCCATGCTCACCCCTTCTGGGCAGACACCAGCCTGCATTCCCGTCCACACCAGACTACTCTCCACTCCCTCTTCCCAGCTCCCTGGGAAACAGCGGCTTCTTGTTTCCTGGAGTTCTTATCGGTCAAGGCCGAAGGGCAGCATCCCATCAACTGCTGACACGTGAGCGAATCCACATGAGAAAATGCATCAGAGTTTGGATGTTCTGCGTAAAACCCTGTGTTTGAGATCCTGCAGAGAGTTCTGACTGCCCCTGGAAACTAGCACCCAGCCTGCAAGTCAGCATCTCGCACACAGAACCAACCCACATCCAAGAAGAATTTGCTCCTATGTATCAGCGTGGAGGACATGAGGGTCCCACTATATGTCAAGCACCTGACCCTCTGGGGGAACTTACATTTCCCCCAACCCACTGAACTCTCACCATGTCCCTACAAAGCAGGCAGTACGTTTCCACTTCTCAACCAAGGAAACTGACATTCCACCAGGATAAGAAACTAACTCGCAGGTACTTAGCTAGCAAGAGAAAGGGCAGACTTTCGCAACCCGCCTCAGATGCCTACTGACTGAGTGTTGTCTGACTTCTCTGAGTCTTGGTGGACTCATCCATAAAATGAGATGAGAAGGCCTCGCAGCGCCATGGTAAGGAACAAATGAACTAGGGTCATGCTCCAAAACTTGGTCTTTTCTCCCAGTTTCAGCCCTTTCAGGAACTGTAGCTCTTCTGATTCCCACAGGCTGCATTGCTACATGCCGTAGAGGAGAGCTTCAGCATCTGTGACAGGAGACGCTGTGCTCGTCCAGTTAAAATGAGAGGTCATCCCACCAAAGCCACAAAGACAACTTGAAAGTCCAAAGCTGTCATCAGCAGAAAAGGAAGTCTGAGTGGGGGCCGCGTATCGGGGGAGAGGTGGGTAAATCACAGCAGAGCCCACTTCCTGGGTGCAGCTACTATACGTGAACATGTCCCCCAGATATCCCACCTACGGGCCCCACACATGCAGGTGGGAAGCAGGATCAGGAAGCTTTCAAAGGGTGGGATGACCCTTTCTGAACAGGACAGTGCCACCTTTCCCATCCACACGTCCCTCTGCCCACACATGGCCAGCAGCTGCCACTACAGGCGTTTGATTAAAACAAGTCACACTGACTGTCTTTGGCAGAAATGAGGATCCATGCCCCGGTGGCCAGGTTGGTGACTGCCACTCACAGACGCCTACATCTACCTCCCCAGACCCACTGGGGGCAGTTCCTGCTTGGGCCCTTGCAAAGCCGGATCCCAAATTAACTGAGCCCCGTCTGGCTCCTCGCGGGCGGGCAGCGGGAAGGCAGGCGCCTTATAAACAGGGAGAGCGCCAGGCCTCCCGTCTGCCTCCTGCACAGCTGACTTGCAGAGAAGAAAGGCTCTCTTCCCGCTGGGGGAAAAGTCTGTTTAGGCCACTGTCCCTCGAATTCCACACCCGCACGTCTGGAATCCTGTTTCCCTCAGCCATAAAGCAAGCACAGTCTCAAAGGAACAGTGTGAACGTAGGTGGAAAACTCTGGAAAAGCCAAGCCACACGGGAGCTAGAATGGAGAGGAACTTCCACCTCTGATGTGTTTCAAACCGGGTGAGCACAGAGACCTCTCTGTGACCCGCGCGGCTGGACTAATTACCAACGTTATCTGGCGGATGACAGACATGCCCCGAACTTCCTCTGTTTGATAGATCCCACTGCAAACACACCCAAGTTCAGGCCCGTGCCTGCTGCTGTTCTCAGCAGTGCCCTATTCTTCCCTAAGACCACTCCTGATCCCCACTCCTCTGACCCCTGCCCCATGCCTCCAAGGTCAGCCAGGCCAATGTACCCACCAAGCACCAGCCCAGTGACTTGGGGGCATCCCTCTCCTGGACCGCTCCACACAGAACCAGTGAAAACTCATACTCAGAGTTTTTCTGAGGAAGAGAAAAACATCTCTCCCTTCCCTGGATGGATTTTGGAGGAAGCGTGAGATGAAAACTGCTGCTTACCTTCGTCGCTGCTGCCACTGGGGAGCTCCAGTTCATGGGTCCCTGGCGGCTGACCCCTTGACCTGCACACACCAGGGTCCCACACTCCACGCAAGCGCCGATGATCAGCTGCTGTCCGTCATCCACCAACAGGCTGTGGCTTGCTCGCAGGGTGTATAGGAACAGGGGCAGCCGGGCCACCCGCACGGACTTCAGGCCCAGACACCGTTTCTTCTCCTGCTGGCAAAAGAAGCACACGAACGTCTCCACCTGGTACTGCCGGGACCAGGCGCTGACAGCGTGGTGGGTGCTGCGGGCCTCATGCTGCAGCCACTGGGCCAGCAGGTCATGGTAGCAGAGCACACAGGTGGCCACCAGGCCGGTGGAGTCCACAGGCCTGGCACGAGGGGCAGGCGGGTACACGGTCAGGAAGGGGAAGAAGGGCTCCTTCTCGCCCAAGCGGCTGGCAGGGTTCACGTTGAGCTGGAACTCCTTCCCGGGGCCCAGCTCAGCCCCACAGATGTAGCAGATGGACACGGGACCGCCCTGGGCTGAGGCGGGCAACTCGGAGAGGGCAGGGTCGGAGGCGGAGAAGGCCTGGTGGTACCTGCCCAGGAAGCCCTGCACGGAGGTGATGAGCTCCTCGTTCTGGCAGGCCCTGTACAGGGCCCAGACATCCTCCAGGACGCTGAAGCACTTGGGGCAGCTGCGGACCTCACAGCGCTTGTTGGGGCCCTGGGCGTTGGGCGGGCAGGGAAGGAGGCTGAGGAAGGGGAAATGCATGGCGCTCCTCGCGTTGCCATTGAGGATCCTGGAGGGGACCGCCCGGGCATCTGGGGTACAGTCCTCCCCACAGAGGTAGCAGGCCTCTCGCAGGGCCCCGGAGGGCAGGCCCTCTTCTCTAGGGAGCCTCCTGCCCTTGGAGGCCATGCCGGGGGCGTGGCTGTCCAGGGGCACCACATAGAGTCGCTGCAGCACCGGCACGTTGGCCAGCTCGAAGCTCTGCCACTGCTGCGTGAGGGAGGAGAAGCAGCTGGCGCACACCAGGGTGCTGCCGCCCTCGCTGATGGGCTGTGCCCCTGGGGGCGGGCTGTGCAGCCACAGGAAGGGGAAGAACGGGGCCTGCGCCAGCTTCTCCTGCTTCTGCACGTGGACCTGGTGGTGCGAGGCCGGGGACAGCGGGGACCCGCAGATGTAGCAGCAAAGGCCCTCTGGTGGTGCCGCCCGGCTGTCTGGGAGAGCCCGGGGGACACGGCCACTGTTCTCCTTCTCTTTGGGGTTGCAGACGCCTGGGAAAGGCTGCTCCTTGTGGTCCTCTTCCCCACTGGTGATATTGATGTCACTGTCCTCGGATGTGCAGAAGCCGCGGAGGGTCTCCCTCAGCGGCCTGCTCTCCAGGGGCTTAGAGGCTCTGCCAGAGGGAGGCCCTTTCATGCCGTCTGCAGAAGCCTCTTGGACAGGAGGGCCTTGCCAAGGATCCTGAATGCCCCTCAGGACGCTGGCCCGGGCCTCGGGAACCCAGTGCCTCCCAACCCCCTTCCGCCGGCGCCTAACCCCGGCCTTAGGCTCCCCATCTGTGTGGGCCTTCGCGGGGAGCCCCTCGTGCTCCGCGCGCCCCTGCGCCGGGGCCTCTGCGCCCTGTCCCAGAGCGGGTCCCGGAGTTGGCCTCCACTCCTGGCCGCGCCCCCCGCGAGGCCCTGGCCCCGGGGCCCCGTCCTGGTGGGGGCTGGCGGCGTCCCGCGCGGGCGGGTCGGGCTCGGAAAGTGGGTCCGTGTCCGACAGCTCCGACAGGTCAGAGTCTCGCGTCTCCTCAGCGGCCCCGCGGAGCCGGGGGCCGCCACCGTCGTCCTCGTCGTCGTCGCCGCCGGCGCTGCCCAGCGCGTAGGCGACGTTCCACTCGCGGGGGGCCCCGGCGCCGCCACGGCGGCCGCCCGCGCCCGCGTCGCACTGGTGGGGCCGCTTAAGCCAGTACATGCGCTTGTCCACCGGCGTGCGGGCGCGCTCGAAGGCGGCCCACTGCTCGCCCAGGAAGCAGCGGCACACGGCGCACACCAGCACGCAGCCGTCGGCCGGGGACAGCTCGCGCGCGCCGGGCGCCGGCTCCTGCTGCTGCAGGAACGGGAAGAAGGGCTGCGCCGGGGTCCCCGCGCCCGCCGCCGGCTGCTTCACCTGCAGCTTCAGCTCCTTGCCGCGCCCGATGCCGCCGCCGCAGATGAAGCAGGAGAGTGGCGCGCCGCCCGCCGCCCGCTCGCCTACGGCTGCCATGAGCCGCTGCTTGCGGGAGACCGGGGCCGGCCGCCCGCTCATGGCCGCGCCGCGTCGCCCGCCCGGGCCCCCGCGCGCCCCGGGCCGCCCTCAGCGCCCGCCCGCGCCGCCGCCGCCGCGCCCAACTTGGAGCATGTGTGCGCGCCGCAAAGTTTGGCGGCGGGCGGCCGGCGCGGGCGCGGGCGCACGGCCCCTCGCAGCGGCGCCCCCCCGGGCCTGCCGAGCCCCCCCGGCGGCAGCGCGGGCCGAGGCGGCGCCGCGGCGAGCGCGCCCGGAACGCAGCGGCGGCGGCGGCGGCGGCTGCGGCGGCGGCGAGGCCCGAGCGGCTGGAGCGGCAGCCGCATGTGCGAGCTCCGGCGCCTGCCAAGGCGTGGGGTCATTTAATTGGGGAGGAGGGGGCGGGGCGGCGGCGGGCGGGAGGGGCGGGGAGGGGCGGAGGGCGGGCGCGCGGCGGGCGGGGGAATCCCTCCCCGCGCGCTCCCTCCCCCCGCCCTCCTCCTCCAAGCCTGCCTCCCTCCCGCCCGCCGCTGCCTCCCCCCGCGTCCCAAACTGCGCACAATAGCGGCCGGCTCCTCTATCTATTTTGTGTCCAGCCGGAGCCGCGCGCGATGATTCATTGCCCCAATTAGGGGCTCTCTCCAGCGCGCCCGGCTCAAGCCGTCTGAAGGGTCTCCTGGGGGACCCGCCGAAACCCATCAGCGGCTGGAGCTGGTCTTTAAGTAAAGGTCAAGCAGGACGCGGGAGGAGCCAGGTAAGGACGCGGCGGTCGCCCCTGGAGCGGAGGAAGCCCCCACCCCAGGGCTGCAGTAAGGGCAGCCCCAGCCTAGATGCAGGCACCCTGCCGGGTTCGTTCGGGGTGGTCCGATCCCCTCAAAAGGGGGTACCAAGCAAGAAAGCCATTTACAGTCCCGAACAGGCCTGAGTTGGGGACACCATTCACGGCCCCGCGTTCTAATTTGGGAGAGAGGAAAGAGGCGCCGTCCCCGTCTCCTGGAACCCGTTAGTGAATGCATCATCCTGCGGATAGTCTGGGGCCTGCTCTGCCCCTTCCCACCACCGACAGGGGTCACTGGGTCACCAGCAGAGGTAGAAAGGGTCCTGTGTGTCCCAAGGCCAGTGACTCAACGTCTCTGGGTCCTGATTTCATTCTCTTCAGCAGGAGCTGCAGCAGGGGATTGATTGTTTCCGTGTCTTTATTGTACATGTGTAGAGATACATTGTATTTATTTAACAAGCAGAAGGACCTGCGGTGCAACGCGCTTAGGGTTAACTGTGGGGATCTGCCCCATTTCACAGACAGGAAAGAAGTCGCATTGAGTGTTACGTTTTCATCCAAAGGGGCCAAACAGGATTCAGACCCAGGACATCGGGCTCCAGGCCCTACTCTTGACCACCAGGGCGAGTAGCCGTGCGAGGCAAACGTCTGGTACACGTCGCAGGTCTGCTGATGGGGACGGTCCATGGCAGGACAAGGACAGGATCCCTGGGTCCTCCCGGATGATATGGCTCAGGCCCTGGTCCAATCCAGGCATCTCCAGACCTCTCATTTCCCATCTGTGAAATGGCACCGCTTCCAGCTTCAAAATTCTACAAGTCTCTGACTTCTGGGCCGTTTACAGCTTCCTCATTTGCAAGCAGCAGCCCAGAGTCAGCCTGGGGACAAAGGTACCCGGTGGTCCCCTCCACCCTCTGGGACACTGAAATGTAAATAAAACTGGGCTTCCTCTTGGCAAGGAAGAGGGCCATGCATTGTAAATAAATGCAAGAAGAAGGCCTCCAGATTCCCTGGGGGATATTCCAGGGCTTGAGGTCCAAGGGTTAACAGGAAATCATCATTGGTTGGGACTTTGGGCCTTCACCCTGGCCCAGAGGAATGCTGTGTCAGCAAAACTGTCCCGAAGGAATGTTGGGGGCGGGGCAGGGGGCTTTTTGGCTCCTGGCATTTTTAATACCTGGAGAGCAGAGGAGGGCTGATACGGAGAAGTTTAAAGGGCAGTGTCTGTTGAATTGCATCCTTGCACAGTTCAAGGGGGACTATTAGGTCCCACACAGACTGAGAGGTTGCTAGTAAGGCACTGCCTGACTGGGGACATGCAGGCCAGCAGGTGAGTTTAATGTGGGTTCCTTAGGACTGGGACACATGCTGTCCCTTCTGCTTCAAATGCGTTTTGGGCTCATCTGTATGGCCATGGCCACAGTGTCATCCTCAGAGGCCTCCCTTTCCTCTCTAGAGCAGGTGCTGTGCCGTGCTTCTCCATCCCAGCTCCCCAGCGCAGGAGTTTGCCATTGACTTTATTGATTTTTCCGTCCACTGCTCCTGTCTGCGCCCAACACCCCCCCGGAACCCTGGTGCTCCCTCCCAAGGGCAGGAGCCAGGTCTGTCTTGCTCACTGGAGATGCGGGGCCTGGCTCGGTGCCTTGGTCCCACATACCTGGGTCTCAGTCCTGTTCCATCCCTTGCCAGTTGTGTGAGCCTTGGGTGGACTTCTTAGCACACGGCCCCTCAGTTCTCTGCTCTGTACAATGGGGGTTGTTAAATAAATAGAGATTTGGGCGCAGGCATGGGCTCTGGCATGCTGTAGGTGACTGTGTACGTGTGTTGCCCCTTCCTCTTTCCAGTGGTTGAAGAGGTTCTCCTGCCGCCTGTCCGCACTGCAGGGCGCGCTGCAGGGTGGCAGGGAGGGCCACTGTGTTGAGGTCACGCACAGAGTCTGAGGGAGAAGGATCACGGGGCCAACCAGACCAAAAGAGAGCGGTAGGGTTTTCTTGGCGGAGCTGGAATCCTCCAGGAGGTATTCCGAGTATGCACCATACATATGCGGGTGTGAGTGTGTACGTATGTGAATGTGCATGAGTCTGTATTTGTTAGATTGTATATGTGTGTGTACATGTGCGTAGTTATATAGGTATGTACAACCTGTGTGTGAGCATGTGTGTGAGTGTGCATGCGTGTGTACGTTTGTGCATGCGTGAGTTCACCTGTGTGCTTCTGTGTATGTGCCTGTGTGTGCATGTCAAGTGGGCCGGCAGTGGGAGTGGGAGGTGTCCAGCTGGATGTTTTTCTTCTCTTCAATGACCCAGTGACTTAGGAAAGTCCCCTGGAACACGTCTTGGGAACCAGGAAGCAGGGTGAACACAGATCAGAGGAGAAGGCCAGTGATGATGGCTGCTCCTCTGCGGGGATGACATGGGGGCAGGGCCGCTGCCACAGCTTGACACAGCAGACTGACATCGCACAGCCATTTACTAGCTGTGTGGCTTTTGGCTTGCTTGTTTACCTCTCTGAGCCTCAGTTTCCCCTTCTGTAAAGCAGAGCCAACTTGACAGTGTGCAGGGAGGGTGAACTGAGCCAGTGCTGGTAAAAGTACATTGCATTGGGATGCAGAATAACAGTGGTATAAACACACACAGCATGTGTAGGCATTAAACACACAGCACACCCATTCAGTGTGAAGCACACACCAGGACCTATACTTTGCAGGTGCCAACTCGTCAAATCTTTCCCAGAAGCCCATGAGGAAGGTTGTGCTGTACCCACAAGTTTAGGGGTGAGGAGACTGGGGCATAGGGAAGGGAAGTCATAGGTCCAGGGTCACACAGCATGGTGGAATTGGGACTGGCACCCCGGTCACATGCCTCTGAAACCCTCTGCTTTGCTGGCTAGTGAGTGAGATTCACTTTCTCTTCAATCCTGCGATGCCAGGACAGGAACAGCCTAGAATCTGGTCCCCCCTCTCCTCACGTGTCCCCCAGTTTCACACCAAAGGAAACAGGCCCTCACACGTGCCTGTCTGGATACAAAACAGGCCAAGTTTGTGCCAGGAGATGAAAAGAAATGCCAGGGTGGATTGGCATGAAATTCACGCACCAAAGTAGACTTGAAGTCCCTGTTTCTAATGGAAATGGGCAAAAGGTTCAAACAGTACTAAGCCATCCAAACATCCCTGCCAAGAGCTGCTGAGGCCACAGCCTGAGCATCCCCAGCAGAGCCATCTCCTGACTTCCCTCTAAGCCCTACACCCCACCTTGCAGCTGGAGAGAGGGTGCCAGGCTCCCTCCAGACCACACACTGGCTCTTCATCTTTCAATTGTAGGACTTGAAAAGCATTGAGAGATGTTCATAGACAGACCCTGCGTTGGGAGCAGGTTAAACATGCCCACCTGGATTCTGCAGGAGACAAGGAGGCCGTCAGCGTAGAACACCTGGGCACATCTCAGATTTGCAGCTACCTGTAGGTTCATCTTAGCCCAGAAACCGCAGGAATCTGCCCTCATCCCGCCCAGGAGAGCTCATTTCCAGCCTCCAAATGCTTAACCACACATTGTTTTGTATATCTGTCTCTGTGCCTGCCTCTCCCACTGGAGCAGAGCCTGAGCTGGCTTGCCTTGCCCTGCCCCACAGTTTCACAAGGATGTGGACATGGTTGGGGACCAATCGGTGCTTGAACCAGGGACGCCGCTAGACTCTATCCAAAACCTCACTCATTATGCCTTCCAAGTTCCAGAATCATCCAGCTGCCTGGCCAGTTTCGACTGCGCCATCTTTTATTCCTCTTGAGTGCCAGCAATCAAGATTAAACTCTGTCATGTGCCCCTGGCTTTTCCCAACCCTGCAACCCGACTTCCCTTCTCGCTGGGCCTTTTGCCCTTTTCCTCCTTCCTCTAAACTGTGCCTGCGCCTTTGGCATCCTGCCCAGGGCCCATTTACCTTCTTAGGCTGGTCCATCCTCCTCTTTTCAGAGGCGACGTGTGCTGTGTTTGGCCTCTGGCTCACTGGGGACCAGAAAAACAAAATTTATCATCTGACTGCCCTATTTTTTCTTTTTTCTTTCTTTCTTTCTTTTTTTTTTTTTTTAATTCTTTTTGCCTAAGAATGAAGCAGGCCCTTCTCTGCTGTCCTTAGAAACAGCTTCAGACATGGCAGGCCACTGGCAAAAATACATCGTCCTTCTCAGAGGGAAAGAATGTAACTGTTAACAACAAAAAATCCCTGGGATTTGTGGAGGCCTTGGGCTTATGAACCAGTTCACCTCCCTGCACTCGTGTGACACAGCAGTACATGGAGGCATCACATCCATTTTAAAGATAGAGAAACTGAGACTCCAAGAAGCAGGGATTTCCCCAAGGGCACCATTCTTGGAATCAGGATAAGTTGCCAGCTTTGGAGCTGATGAAATTTTGTTGCATTTTGTATGCATTTATTGTGCTAATTTGTTAAATATAAACATTAAACATATACAGCATGTTTTGTAACCCTGTCTTAGCAGCTTGTTGCCTTTTTATTTTTTATTTTATTTATTTTTATTTATTTATTTATTTATTTATTTATTTATTTTTGAGACGGAGTCTCACTGTCACCCAGGCTGGAGTGCAGTGGCACAATCTGGGCTCACCACAATCTCCACCTCCCAGATTCAAGCAATTATCCTGCCTCAGCTTCCCAAGTAGCTGGGACTACAGGGATACGCTACCACACCCAGCTAATTTTTGTATTTTTAGTAGAGACGGGGTTTCACCATGTTGGCCAGGCTGGTCTCGAACTCCTGACCTCAAGTGATCCACCCGCCTTGGCCTCCCAAAGTGCTGGGATTATAGACATGAGCCACCACGCCCAGCCTCGTTGCCTTTTTAAATACAGGCGCTTCTGAGCATGGAAGTGGGTGGACCATTTTCTATCTCAGGGGCCTGAGACAACCTAGGCAGAAACATTTCGTAAACTGCAGAGTGCCTTTTTAAACAATCACGGTTTGCATTATACAATTCAGTGTCAGAGCACGGGCTACAGATTCACAGAGCAGAATCGGGTGCTCTAAAACCTCGCCTTGCTCCCCTAAGCCTGAAAAAGAATCCAGCAGAGAACAGCCCAGTCTCCCGCTCTGGGAGACATCGTCCCCCAGCCCAGCCCTCACCGTCTTGAAATCCAAGGATATTGCCGTGAACTTCAGGGCCTCATAAAACCCTTTTGATAAATGATCGCTGGAGCTGACCTGCCCCTGGGGATGATGGGACAAACACTCACATAAATCTGGAGTGGACTCAAAGACTCCCTTGCCGCCGGCTTCTCAACAGGCCCCTGATTTGCAGCACAAAATTCACAGCAGCCATTTATGTGTTTGTCCCCACGCTTCCCAGCCATGGAGGTTTCTTGGTAGGGCACAGGTGGGAGGGGCGGGGGCACAAGCCAAGGGAGACAGAAGCCAGGGCAACCCAGAAGTGCCATGAGGGCACCCGGCATGCAGTCGGCGCTCAATACTAACCAGCGTGCAACCGAGAAGTGCCATGAAGGCACCCGGCATTCAGTCAGCGCTCAATACTAACCAGCGTGCAACCGAGAAGTGCCATGAAGGCACCCGGCATGCAGTCGGTGCTCTGTACTAACCAGCATGCATCCTGCAATGACAGTAGCTGATGTTTAACTAGAAGCCGGGTACCGTGTTCAGAGCTGATAGTCATGTTTATCCCATTTGGTTCTCACAACAGCCTAAAAAGTAGGCACGATTACACACTTTCACAGACAAGGACACTGAGGCTTGGAACAGCGAATCCATGTCTCCAGTGTCAAAGCTGGGAAGTGTTAAAGCTGGACTGAGACCCGGTCTGGCCAGAGCGCCTCGCTCTCATCCGCCCTGCTGTGTACTCAGCTCCTGGCCTGTTGGGCCGCCTTCCCAGATCCTTCCTGCTAGAGGTGTCCTTGTCCCTCAAGGGGTCCTGCCAGGGAGGCTAATGGTCAGGCCTCGCTGCAGGCCTTCGAGTCCTGCCTGTGGCTTCATCAGCGGCTGCCAACTTCAGGACAGGTTCCCCAGCTCTCTGGCACCGGAATACTCAGTGGGCCGCGGCAGGTCCCCCGAGCTGCCTAATGGGAGGGCGGTGAAGTCAACAGCAGCAGATTATTTCCAGCTGCTGCTCTGAGTCACCGAAGCATGTTCCAAACCCAGCCGCCAGCTTGCCTTCCCTGGCCTCTGATTTATGCGGCGGGTGGGTCGTTGCTGGACTTATGGATGGGGACATGAGGTGGGACTGAGGCATGTGTCTGACACTACACTAGGGTGTTATTTTTTTATTTTTATTTTTTTTTTGAGACAGAGTCTCGCTCTGTCGCCCAGGCTGGAGTGCAGTGGCGCAATCTCGGCTCACTGCAAGCTCCGCCTCCCGGGTTCACGCCGTTCTCCTGCCTCAGCCTCCTGAGTAGCTGGGACTACAGGCGCCCGCCACCGCGCCCGGCTAATTTTTTGTATTTTTAGTAGAAACGGGGTTTCACCGTGGTCTCGATCTCCTGACCTTGTGATCCGCCCGCCTCGGCCTCCCAAAGTGCTGGGATTACAGGCGTGAGCCACCGCGCCCGGCTAGGGTGTTATTTTTAAAAAACCTTTTAGTGGGCCTGGAGCAGTGGCTCATTCCTGTAATCCCAGCACTTTGGGAGGCTGAGACGGGCAGATCACGAGGTCAGGAGATCGAGACCATCCTGGCTAACACAGTGAAACCCCGTCTCTACTAAAAACTTCAAAAAATTAGCCGGGCGTGGTGGCGGGCGCCTGTAGTCCCAGCTACTTGGGAGGCTGAGGCAGGAGAATGACGTGAACCCAGGAGGTGAAGCTTTCAGTGAGCTGAGATCGTGCCACTGCACTCTAGCCTGGGAGACAGAGCGAGACTCCGTCTCAAAAAAAAGAAGAAAACCTTTTAGTGAAGTGTTGCCTCTGTACAGAAAAGTGTGCATCTTCATACGTGTACAGCAAGCTGAATTTTCACAAACTGAACATATCCGTGTAACTATCACCCAGAAAGAAGACATGTCTAGGCTCCCAGAAGGCCCCCATGTACCTGCTTCCAGACCTTCCCCTACCAGCAACGGTAATGACTTGAGCCGGGACTACAGACATCTTGACTTCTAACACCAAGAATGTTGTATTTTTAGCAGCTTTATTGAGATATAATTCAAATACCACACAATCCACCCATTTAAAGTGTACAATTCAATGGCTTTTAGTGTATTTACAGAGTTTTCAACCATCAGCACAATTCATTTTAGAATATTTTCATCACCCCCAAAAGAAACCTCATACCCTTTAGTTCTCACCCTCAACACCTCCAGCCCCCGCCCCGCCACCCAGTCCCTGGCAATCATTAATCTACTTTCTGTCTCTGTGGATTTGCGTGTTCTGGACAGTTCGTATAAATGGGATCGTACAACACGTAGTCTTTTTTTTTTTTTTTTGAGATGGAGTCTCGCTCTGTTGCCCAGGCTGGAGTGCAATGGCGCAATCTTGGCTCACTGCAAGCTCCGCCTCCTGGGTTCATGCCATTCTCCTGCCTCAGCCTCCTGAGTAGCTGGGACTACAGGCGCCCACCACCATGCCTGGCTAATTTTTTGTATTTTTAGTAGAGACGGGGTTTCACCGTGTTAGCCAGGATGGTCTCCATCTCCTGACCTCGTGATCCACCCACCTCGGCCTCCCAAAGTGCTGGGATTACAGGCGTGAGCCACCATGCCCGGCCACAACACGTGGTCTTTCGTGACTGGCTTCTTTCAGCGAGCATAATGTTTTCAGACCTTCACATTGTAGCCCATGTCCGCACAGGCTGCTTTTGTACCTTCGCTAAGTGGAAGTGTTTCGTATGTACCCTTCGGCTCTGGCTTTTTGCTCTGTGTTAGACCTGTGAAATTCTTCCCTGTTTTTGCCTGAAGCAGTACTTTGTTCTTTTTGATTGCTGTATAGTAGTCTGTGGATGAATATTCCATCATTTGTTCATCCATTCCGCCATTGGTGAGCTTTTGGGGAGTTTGCATTTGGGACTTACATGATTAGTGTTTTTCTGAACACTCTATTTCATGTCTTTGGTTGAAAACACAAAATGCAGGCTGGGTGTGGTGGCCGCATCTATAATCTCAGCACTTTGGGAGGTTGAGGCGGGAGGATGGCTTGAGCCCAGGAGTTCGAGACCAGCCTGGACGATATAGTAAGACCCCATTTCTGCAGACAAACTTAAAAATTAACTGGTCAGGCCAGGCGTGGTGGCTCACACCTGTAATCCCAGCACTTTGGGAGGCCAAGGTGGATGGATCATGAGGTCAGGAGTTCAAGACCAGCCTGGCCAAGATGGTGAAACCCCGTCTCTGCTAAAAATACAAAAATTAACCCAGTGTGGTGGCGGGCACCTGTAATCCCAGCTACTTGGGAGGCTGAGGCAGAAAACTGCTTGAACCCAGGAGGCGGAGGTTGCAGTGAGCCGATATCGCAGCCACTGCGTTCCAGCCTGGGCAACAGAACAAGAGTCCATCTCAAAAAAAAAAAAAAAGAAAGAGCTGGTCCTGGTGGCGAATGCCTGTAATCCCAGGTACCGGGTAGACTGAGGCAGGAAGGCTGCTTGATCCCAGGAGTTCGAGACTGCAGTGAGTTATGACGATGCCACTGCGTTCCAGCCTGGGTGACAGAGTGAGAACCTGCCTCCAAAGAAACCCCTAAAAGCAAAAATACATAATGCATTTCTGTTGAGTTAATGCCTAGGAGTCAAATTGCTAACCATGGGGTCAGTGTATGTTTGACTTTAATGAATACTAAGATGTTTTAAATCACATTCATAGGCCCATGGAATTCCCAAGTCTCCCTGGTTCCCAGACTCAGCCCTTCCTGACTCCTCCCCTCAGCTGCCCACCCCCCAGCCTGACCCCCTGGGCAGCTTCTTACAGGGCACCTCCTGCCTTCCAGAGCAGCTGCAGTAAAGTCCGTACAAGTTGCAGAGGAAACGGTCTTGATGGCCAAGATTCAGGTTGGGTTTTGTGAGCACACATGGTTTTTCTGCCCTGGCTCTGAAACTGTGTTCCTTTCACAGGCCAGAAATACTTAGGCATGGCTCACTCTAAAAGGGGAAATACATTTTTAAATTCCATTCTGCCTGGGTCTTAGAATGATTTGGAACATTCCAGCTGTCTGAAGGACAGTGCTCACCAGGAACAGTGGCTTACAGTCCCCGAGATTGATCGCTTGTGATTTTGGGTCCTGACTCCACCAGTTCTGGGTTCGATGTGCATTTCTCCCGGGGGACTTCCGGGTTCAAAAACTGTGTAGAGTCCAAGCAAACGAGCCGCAGGCCGACACAGTGGCAAGCGCATGCGTCTTCGAGTGAGACTTCATCAATACAGCAATCCCGAGCCCTTAGCTAGCTGAGCTAAATCTGCACACGTCATCCCATTTCAGCCTTTCAGTGCCCGATGAGGTGGGTGCACAAGTATTATCTGCACTTTACAGATGAGGAAA